AAGCTCCTTAAAGGCTGGCTAAGAAGGAATTGAAATGCCATTACCATTTCCTGCTAACTTCTTCACACAGTGGGCATGTCAGGGCAGTCCTACATTTACTCCAGTACCACCCCACATCCACAACTCATTATGTTTTTAAAGCTAGGAATCTTACTCTTTTACAAGGTTATTTTCAGGAGCCCTACAACATTCATAATGAGAGTTGCATTAACTTTACTTTTTAAACAGCACTGGAATTTTTTAGCTTAAAAAGATTTTAGGATCTGAGCTGGGCGGTGGTGGCGCAGGCCTTTAATCCCAGCACTTGGGAGGCAGAGCCAGGTGGATCTCTGTGAGTTCGAGGCCAGCCTGGTCTATAGAGTGAGTTCCAGGAAAGGCGCAAAGCTACACAGAGAAACCCTGTCTCGAAAAATCAAACAAAAAGAAAAAAGAAAAAAGATTTTGAGATCTGATATAAGTCTAGGGCAACATTTAATACAAGTGAAAGTTGGTACCAAATCGACTCGTTCTTTATCAAATATTTGATATTCTCTATTATCAGGCACCAGGGTTTAAAAAAAAAAAAAAGGTGTTTATAATATAAGTTTAAACCGAAAATATTTGTTGCACAGCCTCTTCTAATATTATGCTTCCCTAATAAATAATATCCATAACTTAAAATATTATTCTTTGGTTGAAAATATGATTTTCAACCAGGCGATGGTAGTGCATGCCTTCAATCCCAGCACTTGGGAGGTAGAGGCAGGCAGATGTCTGTGAGTTTGAGGCTAGCCTGGTCCACAGAGCAAGGTCCAGGACAGCCAGGCCAGGGGTACACAGAGAAACCCTGTCTTGAAAAATCAAAACAAAAATAAGACTTTCCAAGTATTTTGACAATTGCCTGTGTTCTGGTTAGAATCCCTATCTCACCTCTGCTGCTCTCTACTCACCAGCAATGCCCTTGCTCTTAGACCTAAGTTATACCCAACACATATATGGCAGTAATTGGTATTTTCCAATTACATTGGGAACTAAAATCAAAATATTATACGCAAATGCACAACAGGAAAATTCTGTAATGACAGAATTCTTTTTACACCTGTTTGTTTGCATTTTGAAACATGGTTTCACGTTGCCCAGGCTGGCTTGGAATTTGTAACTGAGAATGACCTTGAACTCCTGATCTTCCTGCCTCCACCTCCCAAGAACTAGTATTATTCTTATTTTAATATGACAAGCTACTTTTTAGATGTAAATACAAAGAAAGAAACAGAAGAAAAAAATTAAGTTAAAATTATTTTAAGAAATAGCAAGAATTTTTAAATATACACATGGACAATGTGAGGATTTAAAATTTTTCCTATGAAAAGTAGTATTGTTTTAAATGGATTTCTACTGCATTCCTCATACTGGATCATAACAGATTTTCAGACATCCAGGAGAAATATGGACGTCTTCACAGTTGAACTATCCAAGATAAAGGAAAATAATCGTTCAATAATTTGGACAGTCTGAAACAAAATAAAATCTACCAAAATGCACAGTCCAGCACATACAAAGACAAGTAAGTGGCTACTATAATTATAAAACCAGTATGTTACAATTATAATAAAATTTCATTTCATCAACTTACTTTGAAGCATATGAGGCATTTAATTCAACATTATAGCCAGGGGAGGGGAGCACCCCTCATTCTTTGGTATAGTTTTTTTCCCCCTAAATCCAGAATTAAATATCAATAAATGTCCACAAAAGGTCCTGAGTAGGAATATAATGAAAACAAGGAGGATGCATTACAGGCCACCCTGCTGCCAACAGCACTGCGCTCTTTGATATACACTTGAAAGTTGTCCTCATGGCTTCCAACCGAACTAAAAAGCTTAGAGATAAGATGAGGTCAGTTATTAAAGAAGGGACCAAAAACCAGAAACATTTCTAGCTACAATGTTGTAGAAGTAACCCTTTTCTTAAACAATCTATTTTAGAAACTTCAAAAAGATTGTTTAATTTTCATTAAAACAATCTCTATTCTTGAGTTCCTTTTCTTAAATGGAGGACAAGTATTATTTCTAAGGCATGAATCAAAGCAGAAATAGTGCCAACTGTGGGGTAAACATAAGCAAGTCCTGTGGTACAAAGACGACAGTGCAGAGCAGACAAAAGGTGCCACCTCCTATCAGTCCCAGACACTGCCATTCAGATCTTTAAACTTTTATTAACTAATTTTTGTTTTGAGACAGGATTTCACTATATAGCCTTACTTGGCCTGAAAATCACTTGGTAGACCAGGCTGGCCTCAAACTCAAAGATCTGTCTGCCTCTGCCTCTTGAATGTTACAATAAAATGTGTAGCCTTCATTAACTAATTTTATGGAATTGAAAAATAATTACAAAGCTCAACTTCTTACTTCCTAATCTAAACTAGCTAGGAGTCTATCATCAGTATTTTAGCAGACCCAGACCAAAGTTGAAATAAAACCTCTCAGAGTCACTACATAATATAATGTGTATTTAAAGACAAACAAAAAACAGATAGCACAGAATATCATATACAGAATAATTGTAAAAGCAAATGACAAACAGGCTCTGCAGAGTTAATTGTACATATAGTCCTCACAGTTAACATCATTATCAATTTTATAAGTTCAACAAAGAATAAACACATATCAGAGCAAGTTTACTCATAAATCTATGCCTTAAAAAGCAAACTAAGTACACACACACACACACACACACACACACACACACACACACAAATGTTCAAAATACCGTATCATGCAAGGCCAAGAAAAATAAAAACAATACAAACATCTATCAACTTGTGAATGAATCCATAAAATATTTCATGTTCACAGTGGGATAATTTTTACAATAAAAAGAAATGTAGTGTGAAATCTGCTAACATTTGGATAAACCTGGAAAACATTGTACTAAATGGCAGAAGCCAGTCACAAAGTATGATATGTCCAGATTATATTTACCTAAGAGTTTTAGAATAGGCACAAACACAGAAAGTACCAGTGCTTGCCTACGACTGGGAGGCTGGCAGGGAATCAGGGATCCTGAATGCTCAGGAAGCAGAATTTCTTCTGGGTGATTAACTGCTCTAGAACTGACCGAGTTGTTGAATACACTAAAAACCAATGAACAGTTTATTTCATGTGGGACAACAATATGGTACCTGTGACTCAGAATTATTCTGTGCAGATACTAAAAACCCTAATCTGTACACTTCAGAGGTAAACTGTACAGCGTGTATATATATCTCAATAAAGTGTTTACCAAAAATTTCAATTTTCTAATATTGAAAAGGCAAGAAAAAGTATTAAAGAACAAAGATCAGCAGAGCATTATTATTATTACAAGCAGTTTGCCAAGCATATTGAGGACAGTAAAATTATCAATCAGCTTCTTAAGAAAATGTTTATTATTATTAAACAGTTCATAAATACCTAATCAGCTCCTAATAAGATCTCACATTCAGTAAATGTGCCATATGAAAATTAACATGCTAAATTTAAGAGATTTTCATGTCAGACACTTTATTAGGAATAAGTATTTACAGAATTAAGTGACAGATTTTCATTAAAACTGTCATTTCGGGTGATTATATAATCTCTCAGAAGAAAGAGCAAATTAATGTTCATAGCTAACACACTTGTCTTTTCCATAGAGACTGTGAGGCAGGTTCACTAGGTGGTCCTGGGGGCCTGAACTCCCTATGTAGACCAATCCTGCCTGTCACCAAGAGCCACCTGCCTCTGTCCAAAGGAGTGTACCACCACACCTGGCAGATCATGCAAATATTTTACTATGCAATAAAGATGAATACATGTTTTAATTTTTGATTTTATGGAAATTATTCAATGAAATACCATCATGCTGTTTTTTAAATTATCCACATTAAATAATTGCCTTTTAAAAAGTGTGTGCTTTGAATAAATTTTTTCTTATCAAGACCTTTGTGATTCCTTTATATAATCAATTATAAAATACTAATACAATCTTTTATAAAACCAAGATTTTTACCAAGCAAAACTTAAAAAAAAAAAAACTTTAACAAAATATTTAAAAAGCAGAAGAAACCCAAACCAAGACTTTTTTTTAAAAGCACTTGACTTATTTTTACTAATTCTAGCTAACATTTCTCTCTACATTGAAATGTTTTAAGTATTTACAACAAGGGAAATATCAATCTTCTATGATCACATATCATTTGAGGATAAAACATGACAATGTATCATTTAAATAGATTCTCAAGACTAGGACACTCATAATAAGGGGAAATTGCTAGACTAAATTTTTATAGAAAGCAAAAAAGAAAGCAAGGGGTGCAGTATGGAAATATCAAAGGGAAAATTAAAGCAAACTGATGACTTGTGAAAAGATTCCAAGTCAATAAAACTTATAAAAATGCTACAGTAAAACTAAATTTTAAAACTGGTTATTCATAAGATTACTATAAAAAACTGCCCCCAGATAAACACGCCAAAAAGACTAAATAGGACCAAACTTTACAAGAGAAAATTTCCACGTAGGAACTAACATGGGAATAAAGACCCTAGCACCATAACCTCACTAATCCAGAAATGCTTTTGGAAACCAAGAAAATGCCAGGGAAGCAAAAGAAAAACAGCTGCCTACTAAAGCAATAAAAGCTCTATGAAGCCACTGCCAACCTCAAAAGAAAATTAAATTAATGATGTAAGGATTACAAGATGCCCCAAGTAACCACACACACATTTGGGGTGTTGTTTATCTATACATTAAATATTCTTATTGTAACTTCAAAGAAAATAGTGTAAGAAATTAAAATTTAACTTTTTCCACATAACATGTAGCTAGAAGCTTTTCTAGTTTCAGAGACATGAATACTGTCTTTGAAAGCATTTAAACAAGGTCTAAAATCTGTGCATGAAAATGTTGCACATAGCATTAGATAAACGGGAGACACAACACTCCACTGCATATTGCTCTTCTCAGAGATGGGTGACACCAAGTAGAAAATTGGAACAACTTACATTGTTGTTGCGTGTTTCTACAGCAGGAAACTTTCTGACTATGAATTTCACAGCAGATTCCAGGTTTTTGTCAATAAGGTAGGATGGTTTAGCCTTGGGATCTCCACATGCCTAAAAAAACAACAGTAATGAAAAAGAGTGAAATGTATCTTCCTAAAATCAAGGAAGAATAGCAAATCTGAAATCAGAAATTAGAAAGATTTATTGTTTTTGGTGAGCAGGTGATAAAATGAACAGGCAAAGTGCAGGGATTATCACAGCTGAAATATGCGATGGGAGACAGTACAGAGATGTTCTTCTACTGAAAAAAACGCATGGAAAGTTTTAAAGCAGTTAGCGCAGAACAGCAGTGAAGGAAAAAGCTCAAACCTAAAAAAAAGGAAAAGAAAATGAAAAACTTTTTTGGTTTGAGGTAGGATTGTATTCATCTGAAGCTAATAAAGTATTACAAAATCAAATACTAAGTAAAGTCCTTGAAATGTTTCTAAGTGTTATAAAATGAAGGCTTGTGTCTGAAAATGTCTTTTCCAAAATGTTTTCCTCATTCGATGTCAACATTTTAATACAAGAGTCCTAGTTCAAAAGAACTGGAAGCTGCTAACACTGAAGCTGGCCTATACTCCTCACATGTTGCCTGCTCCTCTGGTCATCTGCGTTTACAACACTGTGTTCCCTCATACCAGCAGCACCTCAAGCAATGCACCCACGTCTGTCCTTTATCTCATAAGCACAGAATAATGGCAATGTCTCCATCTGATCCCATCAGCAGCACAACCTCCTCTGCAGTGAACTGGAAAGCACTATAGAAATGCTACTGGGAAGGACTAACAGGAAGTACCAACAGTACAATATGTGACAGTTCACTGCTTGTGTGAGATGCTTTTTCTAGGGAAATATCAAAAATCACATCATTCTTGCTTAAGTTTTTTATTCCATTTTTAAAGCATATGCTTTTATAGTGATGTCTGCCGTATGTGAGGAGATACAGTACTGTAACCTGACCTTCTAGTTTACTATGGCTATGTTGTGGATTACAGAAAGAGAAGTTATGAAACATGAGACTGATCTGAAAGCGGGCAAGCGGGCAGAGGGAAGGTGAAAAGCTTTGCAAACCTTCCAAACTTGTCCTTGCTGGGGAAGCATTGTAATAAAAAGAGAGAAAATTACGTGTAAACAATGATTGTCAAATATGACATACTTTTCAGTAGAAAACTTATGCACTGCAGACTACGGATAACAATACAAAATGAGAACTGTATGGTGCTACAATTTATAAGGTACTTAAGTAGCGAGTTCTATTATACAGTAGATTTATATAGTTTATAGTATTCATATAGATTAAATACTACCGTGTAAGTGTACAACCATGTCAGTATCTTGGTGGTCTTTCTAAATCAACTTAAAATAATACTAGAAAAAAGGAAAAATAAAGACTACATGCAGCTATAAAAATAGGAGCAAAGACCATTAGTGAAATTTTACATACCTTAAAAAGAAACGGTAGCCAAGAATAAAAGTGAATTGTTACAAGATGAACTTTGTACTTCAGCTCAAATTGAAACTAAGTTTCAAATACCACCTAACTTCCAAGCCAAATTATAAAAGAAAGCCAAGAAAAAAAAAATTCCTATTTTTATAACTGGAAATAGGAACGCAGTACCCATTCTTAGTATAATTAGATCAAACAATTTTTTAAATTTAGAACTTAACCTTTAATGAGACTGACAAGGCTACTATACTAATCCACTTCTACATAATATTAGCATAATCTGACTTTTCCTCAGACTATAATTTCTTTGAAATAGTTTTTTTATAGACTGGTCTTCTAATTTGTCCTCTTTATAACACAAACTAGATTCACATAACCAAGACACATACAACTAAGAAACTGCCCTTTAAAAATAGCTACAGATTACCATTTCCTTATATAAAGCATGCCTATGACAGTACAGAATCCTAAAGTGACTCAACATTGACTTTTCATATGTATCTTTTATATTCCAGTTATTTAAAAACCCAGATATTAACTTTAACAGTATTAGCAGCTATCAATAAAACAATGTGCATTTCCCAAGATCACAAAAGAAATCTGTATATAAGCAGCTCTTCTTACATTGAAAACAAAATAAAAAAGAAATTTCAGTTCGGTGGACAAATAAAAGTATACATAACTTCTCTGCATGCTGCTCGGTGGACCTATGTAAGAGCATCCCTGAGAGGTGACACCAGATTCTGCTAAGCAGCTAGGCTCTGATCTCTACCACTCGCTAGCTCGGGGTCCTTACATATATAACATTTCTTAGTCTCAGTTCCTTCTGTAAGAGGCCCAAGGGAGAGAGAGTACTTACCTCACAGTGTCATTATGAGTGTTTGAAGAGCTTAGGTAATCCATGTAAAGCATTTAACAAAGGGACTGGCACGTAAGTGCTCAAAAATGTACACCGTTATTAGGAATGGTTATAATAAAGAATATGACAATCACCTAAGCCAAAGTCTACTATGGAGACTGGTCATCAGTAATGGTCTATAGCACAGTATCTAGAACCAGCACATTTAGTGTAACCTCCTTAACAACCGCAAGTTTCTCTCTCAACCACATTATCCCTTTCTCTCACTTATCTGAGAGTCTAACATACTGTATTTATTTTACTTACAGAAAGAATATACCTTTATGTTTTATTTGGGGTTTCTGGTGTTGAGGACTGAACTCATGAATGCAAATATGCTAAGAACATATTCTACCACTATATCCCTATAGCCCAAGAACATGAATTTTAAAACAGGATGCCCATGTTCAAGTCCCGGCTAGGTCACATAGCTGTAAAGCATGAGTTAATGATTTTATCCTTCATCTCTTGGTGTCTTCTAAACTGGAGATAGTATTTACAACCTGTCCTAAAAAGTTCTACATTCACTACAGAGGTGTGGTGTGTTTGTGGGTGTGAAGAACTTATAGGTGTGTTTCACATACCATGAACATAAAAAAATAAAATAAAATAAAAAACTAATACAAATAAAAGGAATATACACAAGTTCCATTCTACTTTTTCTAAAATCAACTTACTTAACATATTTACTTAATAAAAAGAAAGATATTTATATGAGGAATACTCAGGGGGAAAAAGTACAAGAGAAACTGAACTATAATCTGACTAAATTACCTAGGTAAGATACATGCTAGCAAGGAGCTATGACTGTAACTCAGTTATGGTTTTCACATAATACGACCATAGCAGAAAAATTCTAACTGGTCAGAAATCCGTCTATAAAGATTAATTTTCCCCACTACTGTTTTAGAACAGGAATTGTCAACATATTTGAAAGCACTTCATGCTATCAAAATTATAATTAATCCTTTACTTTTGATTAGTCATCCTAGAAGTACAGATTTTTATTAACTACAAACATCACAGCACTTAGCTACTAAAACTATCTGTACTAATACATGCAGAAAGGCCCATAACGAAGACTGGATCTAAACATATTAACAAAAGGAGCGGAGACATGGCTCATCAGGCCAGTCCCTGCTGTGCAAACATGAGGACCTGAGTTCAGACCCTAGTAACCGAGCAAAAGCCCACGGAGCAGTATGCCTGCAACCCCAGCACTGGGGGAGGGCAGAGGCAGGCAGATCCTTGAGGCCTGATGACTAATCACGTTAGCCTGAATGCCGTTTTGATGGGCTGGCTATGTAACTCAATGCTTGCCCAGCATGCTCAGAACACTCCCCTCACCCAGTATGGATGCACAGTACAGAAAGAAAGAAAAGAAGGAAAGAAGGAAGGAAGGAAGGGGGGCAGAGGACCTGTCTTCTGGCCCAAGTGGCCCACAGCCCAACTGATTTATTTAAGGATATTAATACTACCTATCTTATAGGTGGACATAAGATTAAAATATATATTATAGGGTAAGTAAAGTGCTTATCTCAATGCCTAGAACATAAGTATTTAATAAGTTCTAAATCACATCTTCTCAATTTAAAGTAAAACTTTCAATCTGTGGATTTCCAATTTTACATTCATAATGCTAATTCAACATCTATAAGTTAATTTTCTCACAAAAGCAAAATTGAATGTTATCACCAGGAATAAATTTCCAGAAAACATATATTATGTAAGTCACAAAATAAATGCCTTTGACTAGAAACACTAAGACAAGATCTGATAGAGTTTTTTCCACTAACGTACCACTGAAATCCTTTTTAGTCCTTTCCTCAAGTGTTTACAGCTAACACTACACACCACAGCTTAATTTTTCATGCTTAAAGCTACATGTTTTTCCAAAAACTTACCAAGACAAAAAAAAAAAAAAAAAAACAAAAAAAGAATGGATAGACAGATAATAACTAATGTGTCTAGTCTGATAAAGCTAAAGCCCATGTAAGCAACAAAACAATCGAAAAGAAGAGAACAGAGGCAACATTTACTGGGTAATTCTCGTATTCAAAGGCACCCATGCTTTAGAGATTTCCTGGATAGA